AAAAATAAGCCAATCAAATCTAAAACAAAACCAAAACAACCATATGCAGTGGGAATGTGTGCTAAAATATCATCAAGAAATGTTTTCCCAGTCTTGTTTTACCTGTCAATGAGCACATTATGCTGCATGCTTCCTTTCCCACAGACAAAATAAAGAACATGCATGCATGGTTTGGCAAACAGACAAAGAGATTCCTAGCCAAAGTGTTACCTGTATTGTATGACACCCTGCAGCCTTTGTTTCTCAGTAATGAAATTTGAATATTTCGTGTTTGGTTGCATAAGAGCAATCACATTCATTTCCTGTCTGTCACGCAATCTTGTTTGCACCATCACACTGCTCTAATTTTATACGCATATGTACGTTGTGTGAATACTCGTGCTTAAATGTCAACAATCATCCAATTTAAGCCACCCACATGCAGTATATTCTATCCAGAGTTGATTACATGGGATTAGTTTTAGCCGATGTAGCCTCTGACGCGTGACGTGCTAACATGTCATGCCTGATTCGTGATTACAGCGCTTAAAGGACCCATATTGCGCTATTTTCTGATCTATGTTTTAATGTTGTTTCCTCATCTTAAACATACCTGGAGTTGAGTTTTGTTTCATTCACACGTTTAACACACAATTCCTGCATATTTAGGCTGTGTTCTTCTCTCTAACATGTCAATAAAGGAAGTGCTCCATTGTGTTTTTAAGCTCCATACAGGTTCACTAGAATTATTGGATAAATTCAGTCCTGCAAATCGCAATCTTTACTAAAAAAGAAAGTAAAAAGTAACTGTTAACATGATGTCATGCAGTAGAACAGAGCATTTTCAGCTTTAGAGATGTAAACAAACTAACAATAAAGGGTTAATCTAACATGTGTGAATGAAACAAAACACAACTCCAGGTATGTTTTCGAGGAGATAAAAAGATTATGATATATCTTAAAGCTCACACGAGTCACTTTTGTATAATATAGGAGCTTTAAACGCTACATTTGTCAACACATATTTCATATATCTCTTGTTTTGTGTGATCCAAAAAGGCCAAACCCAAAAACAGGTTCAAAAGGGCATAGGGTATAATATAACTAAGTTCCTCTGTGGGGAGTGTCATAGTTGGCTTCAAAGGGGATTATAAGAGACAACATGTTGCATAGTTTACATATAAATTTGACAACAGCTGTGTCGAAGCATAAGGCACTGCAGATACTTGTATGCTAAATAAAATGAGAAAGGTGGCTAACAATAATGCAGGAATTTTAAAGTGGGCCAGACCTGAGCAGCTGCAGATAACAAGTGTTGTCGTTGAACTATGGTGTGAATTTGGGTGTTGCTGTGCTTAACAAAATGATGACAGCAACAAAGTGTACGCTCTTAACCCTTTCAAATCCCTGTAATCCGCGGACTTGGCATAAACACTCCATTTTGGTTATAACACATGCAGTCACACTTTGAAGTTGTATTGTATGCATGCACATTCTCTGCTTTAAGTGGAGCTCTAATTTAGGACCCTACAAACAAAGATGGTATTAATAGAACAAGCAAAAGTCTGCCTATAATGAGGAGTTCAATAACAAAAACAGAAATCTTTTGAAAATTTGCTTTGTTCTTTTTGTTGCCACCTTCTAAAGATATTAGCAATGTCGATTATCTATAGAGGGTTTTAACAAGAAGGGATGGAATTATATTTTAGCAGTAGCAGTAAAATAGATTTGGCTCTTGAGTAAACTACAAGCTTCTGGTGACTTTTTCTGTTTTGGCAAATTAACTCTTCAAATGTTGATAATAGTCATTTAAATTATTTGTCCAAAGAAATTTAATTATTATGAAATTAAATTCAGAATTTTTTGTAATTTCTCAAGAACCTACCCTTGTTTTGGACCAAACTATACACAATTTAAGAAAAAATAATCAGGACTAGGGCTGGGTATCATTAAGAAGTTGCCGATACGATACGTACCTCGATACATAGGCCATGATACGATACATATCTCGATACAGTGCACTTTCGATTCGATACGATATCTTTCAAACCAATTCAATACGGTTCAATAAAAAATAACGGCTAAAACATGGCTGTGATACTAAAAGTCTTTGTTAAACCACTTCTTGTGCAAAATGAAACACAAACATTTTAATCATCAAAACAGTGAAAGTCCTGTCCTGTCCAGTCCGTCCTCTAAACAATAGCGCTGTAACAAAATAATTTAGTAAAATATACCAAAAAATACTCTTGCCCGATATATCGATACAGCAGCCCACAAATCGATACTGAATCATCACATTAAACGATATGATATATCAATATTTCAATATTTTTGCACACCCCTAATCAGGACAACTTAATATTTTGCACTGCCAAATATAGAGTTTTAGTAACACAGTAATTAATGCATATACATAAAAAGGAATCTGGTCTTTTAAAAAACATAAAACATCTGCTTTGATTCCTTGTTATATTTATGCCCCTGATTTAAATGTTACTTCATCAATGATAAAAAATAAATAAAAAAATAAAAATCCTGGCATATCTCCATGACCTCCCTACTGTTCCTGCTACGACTACATTTCTAAATACTTTTGCGGTTGTGTCATGATAATTATACCACTGCTCCGATAACCCTGTTGACGCAAGAATCTAACACAAATGCATACAATAAAACCCAGTGTATTATAAAAATAAAATATCTTTAATAGTTACTTTGATTTTCCTTCACAAACACTAAGTACCTTTCACAGACACATCAAGAATCGCATGATCTTACAAAAGAAGTGTTCATTTTTGCTGACATCTGGACATAGTTTTTCAAAATCGATGACGGATCTTGTACAGCGGTGGCGTTTGAAGGTGGCTAATGACTATTCTTAACTATTTATTGAAAGAAAGCAGGAGATCTGGTTGCTAACAGTGGGACGATGGATGTCAACACATTATTATTGACAAAACAACTCCCTCTAACGCGTGCAAATGGACCTCTAGTGAAGTGAATTTTTCCATTACATTCAGGAAGTCGCCAATGGGCTGACTAAATGCTTCGCGGAGAGGTATCTTGTGCATTGTTTTCTTTTCACAATCCTGTTAATGACACCATAACAATAGACTGTACTTTGACATACTGAGCTTGCAGGGTTACACAGTATTAAAGACGCACTGTGTAACATCTCTAGTGGAGGGTTCGCCATCTGCTTGTCTCCATGGAAATTATATGTTCCACAGTCCTAGATTAAGCCTATGAGATAAGGAGGTTACAGCTCTACGCTACATTACAGTCCAGATCTGTGGAGAGTCACCTCATTTTACAGAAGGAATTATTGTATTTTTGAGCAATAAAAACACCTCCATGGAGACAAGAAGGCAGCGGACCCTCCACCGGAAAAGTTTCACAGTGCGCCTTTAAATATGTAATTGTATCTCCAATTGTCTCCTGAGCAACGTTAATCACACACATTAAGGTTGTAGGTATTGTCATGGCATTCCTGTGTACGTCTATGGCAGGGCGATATTTTCCACAATCTCTACAAAGGAGAAAAATGTCTTGAAATGTCTTAAACCATTCGTGCCAATGCAAAAAGTAGAATATAAAGTTGTAAAACAGTTTGTACATTATTTACATTGAACTTCATAGTATTTATTTGGTTGACTTTTGTCTTTGTAAAACAGTTATTATTATCACAACTATGTCATTTTTAGTAAGATAATGTGTCCTGGTCACTTCTAAATCCATACAGTAAGGCAGCAGTTACCCTCAGTGGCCAAAACACTTTATATTAGCGCACACATCTAACTACCCGCTAATTAGCACAGTTGCAAATGGTTAATTTGTCATTAATTAGTATTTATTCAACTCTTATTAATGTCTGCTTTTAGTTAGACATTTACAAACACTTTCCTATTAATACACTTCTTATTACTGCTTATTAATATGGTGGTATGCCATTTTTGTCCATGAATTATGATTCCAATAAGCTTTTGGCGCAAATAACTAAAAACTACATTTCTTCTGATCCTAGTCCCTAACAACACCAGCTTATCAGAATCATAATTCATATACAAAAATGGCCTAGTATCACACTAATAAGCAGTAATAAGGAGTGTATTAATAGGAAAGTGTAATTGTCTAACTAATAGCAGAATAAACTTTTACAGATTAATAAGGGTTAAATACATATTAATTAATGACAAATTAACCATTGACAAGTATGCTGTAGTGAGTTTCCTCCGCAGAGTGGCTGGGCGCTCCCTTAGAGATAGGGTGAGGAGCTCAGTCACATATAAGGAACTCGGAGTAGAGCCGCTGCTCCTCCATGTCGAGAGGAGCCAGCTGAGGTGGCTTGGGCATCTGTTCCGGATGCCTCCTGTGTGCTTCCCTTGGGAGGTGTCCCACCGGGAGAAGGCCACTGGGAAGACCCAAGACATGCTGGAGGGACTATGTCTCTTGGCTGGCCTGGGAACACCTCGAGGTCCCCTGAAGGAGCTGGATGACGTGTCTGGGGTGAAGGAAGTTTGGGAGTCCCTACTTAGACTGCTGCCCCTGTGACCCAGCCCCGGTTAAGCGGAAGAAAATGGATGGATGGACAACTGTGCTAATTAGCAGGTAGTTAGATGTTAATGAGTGTACCCTAAAATAAAGTGTTACCAAAACATTACATGCAATGCTGAATGAGGCAAAATAAGTATCTTTTTGTATTATATGTGATGCAGCCACTTAAATTATCTTCAAAATAAACAGCTGAGCTGAAGTTGCTCATTGTTATTGATATATGAAATAATTTAAGCCATAACTAACAGTAGTAATTGTTATAGGTTTTGGACACTGTCAGCATATAAAGCATTGTCATTTTGAACATAAAAATGAATATAAAATTGGAAACCTTTCGTTGGCAGGATAATAATAACTGTATCACCAAGAGCAAAAAGCCACCATTTGAAACAATTACACTTTGTACATTGAGTTTTGTAAACATTCATGTAAACAGCAGTGATCATTCGAGATATGGGTGGACATCAAAGATTTGAGATTTGCCTGATTTTTCTGTTCACAACATGCACCGATCCATGAGTCATTTTCAGTGGTATTTCAGTCTCCGATTTTTTCTTCTTCCGATGTCTTTTAAACCTTTTACAGCAAATATACGATGTTAGCATGACTACTAAAAGAAACAGCCCTAGACATGTTGCAGATAGAGCGATGAGAACTGGCTGGCAAGGAAACAGCTCGTATCTTTCAGGTCCGTCCTTCATTTGACCAATAAACCAGGGTTTTTCCTCGACTTCTATGTCTGCCTCCCTGGTTAGCAAGCTTTGGATGTAGCTCTCATTGCTCACAGTTTCATTCACAAAAAAGTTTACCATGACGGTTGAGTAGAGTGGTTCGGGTTGTCCGTGATCACTAACTTTAACCAGCAAACTGCATAAACCCCGGTTGCTTAGCTCGCGTTTTAGAGTGATATTTCCAGTTTGGGGGTCGATGGCGAAGGATCCCGGCTCGCCACCTTTTCGCTTGATGATACTATAAGCGATGACTGCGTTCATGCCTGTATCTTTATCCACGGCGTACACTTCGGTAATAGATGTCCCAGGCAACGTGCTGGGTAGGACTAGCATATAAGACTGGTTTGATTGCGGAAACAGGACGATCGGCGGATTGTCATTTACATCCAATAATAAAACCGTCACCATTGTAACCGAAGACAGAGCAGGCTCGCCCCCATCCACAGCTTCGACCCACAACTGATAGGTCCCTTGCTGCTCTCTGTCAAGCGAGGTTTTGGCTCTGAGTATACCGCGTCCCGTGTCAATCATAAAAATATCTGTACCGTTTAAAATCGACAACGCAACCCAGCCGTTCTCCCCCGCGTCTGCATCTCTAACCGAAAGTACTCCAATCTCGCCGTATCCAGGGAAATTCTCCGGCACGAAGAATGTGAAGTCTTTGTTGATGAAGCGCGGGCTGTTGTCGTTGCGATCTTGCACGGTCAGGACAACGGTCGCAATGGACTCCCTCCTGGGCGTCCCCTGGTCCAGTGCCCTCACGATGAAACGATACGTCTCCTTCTCTTCGCGGTCCAGTGATGTGGTGACTATAAGGACGCCAGTAACCCGATCTAGTTCGAATATCCCTGGTGCATCCCCTCCCAAGAGATAGATAACTTCTCCACTGCTATCGCTATCCTGATCTGTAGCCTGGAATTGCGTTAAGAACGTATTGGGAGGGTTGTTTTCATCAATGGTTAGCTCGACTATAGACTGTTGAAATACCGGGGCGTTGTCATTCTCATCCAGCACTTGAATTTTTAAAAAGGCCTTAATGACCAACCCTTGTGAATTATTAGCGACAATGATTAGGTCAAACTCTTGTGTTGTTTCATAGTCCAGTGCTTCTGTGGTTTCCAGTAAGTATTCATTTTTAATCAGCTGGTAGGGGCTTAGCCTAAATGGGCCACTCCCCTCCAGATGGCAGTCCACTTTTTGATTCGAGCCTACATTTTTCACCGTATAAAAAGCGATAGGAGAAAACGGGGGTTCTGATTCCTTCAAATAAACAACTCCGTCTTTCTCGAGCGCGATGTATCTTGGTGTGACGACGGGTGGTCCGCTGAGCATTTTGATTATGTTGAGAGTAACAGTTGCAACAGCTGGGATGCAACCAGGCCCATTGGCTAATACAGTCAGTTTGTAGTGTGGGGCAGTGCCAGACTCTATTTTGCCTGCTAGCTTAATGACACCAGTGTTTCTATCCAAATGAAACAAGCTTCTAGTCTCCCTTGGCACTCTCTCACTGTAGGCGTAGCTGATCTGAGCATTAGCGCCCAGGTCAGGGTCATAAGCGTGGAGTCGCGCTAGTGGAGCTCCTTTACTTGTATTTCCATGGACAGTAACATTCAAGTGAGACTCTGTGAATTTCGGGCAGTTGTCATTCACGTCTGAAATCTGTATTTTTAACGTAGCAGCCCCAAGAAGTGGAGGTGCCCCGCCATCCTCCGCTATAATATCTGTTACATACTCTGCTTGGGTTTCTCTATCCAAAGTTTCGGTAACAATGAGGAATGGCGTCAACTCTCCCCCATCATTTTCTTCAACATCCAGAGTGAAGACCCCGAAGTCATTAACTAGCCAATACGTCTGGACCCCGTGGAGCCCCAAGTCTGGGTCAACCGCCGACTGCTCGACCGCGTAACGAGCATTGATGGGTGAGTTTTCCGGGACAGTTAAAATAATTTCATCCACAGGGAACTTTGGCCTGTTGTCGTTCACATCCTCAATAACAATCTTGACTTTGATGAGCTGAAAATACTGTTGCGGTAACACCAAAACATCCAGAGACAAGATGCAGGCCTTAACCTCTGAGTTGTCTGGACAGAGGCTCTCCCTGTCTATCTCCGTGGCAGATGTGTAAAGCTCCCCAGTGGTATTATTAAGGGTCACATACTGCTCGTTGACCTTCTTTTGAGCCAGATTGAATAAAAAGGGGGGCTCTGCGTTAAAATCCAAGTTTAAGTCGACTCCAATGGCCCCTATAAATGTCCCACGTGGTAATCCCTCCTTTATCTTATAGACAAGCTCTTTTGCTTTGCTGAAATTTCCCAAACAGGACAGAGGGCTGGTGTAGAGCAGGAGGATGCAGAGGCCCTAGAAGAAAACAACAGATTTTAATCACTGCTTTGAATTTAAAATGGAATAGACTACAATATACACTAGGCCTACAGTACATACATACATACGTACATTATTAAGAGAACATTACATTTAAATTATGAATCAACATTTATTTATTTATTACTTCATTTGAATACACATTAAAAGTCCATATCACCCTACTTTTAGACCTATGTTATAATGCTATTCCCTCATCAAAAATATACCCAGAGTTGTGTTGTTTCATTCACACATACATACAAATCCTGCATATTTTGTCCGTGTTCTTCTCTAAAACAGAAAACACCCTGTTCCACTTTGTGAAGTCAAGTGTTAATACAGAAAGTGCATCCACTGTGTTTTTAAACTCCATACAACTTCACTAGAATCATTCGGATAATTTGAGTCCTGGAACTGCCAACCTCTGCTAAACAAAAGGTGAATTATAGCTTTTAACTTGGAAACTACCGCTTTATGCCATTACAAGGTGGAACGTATTTTGCATTTTGAGCTTTGGAGATGTAGACAGGCTAATGAACCAGGAATACTCAAACATGCGTGAATAACAAAACACAACTCTGGGTATTTTTAATGAAGTAACAGTGTTATAATATGGCTTAAAGCTCACACGAATCCATTTTGTGTAATATAGGACCATTAATAAGCATTTCTGTAGTATCCAATTGTAGTCATATAGTAGTTTTTGTACCACTTAGATGTTTTATGTGTAGCAGTTTGGTAAAATGTATAAATTAATTAGATTATAATCAATACTATAACACAAATCGAGACAGGACTGTGCTTAGCTGCTAATACAAACCAGATAATCATGTTGAAAATACATACTTTTAACATGTAATTAATGATATCTATATGAAAAAATACTCAAGTAAACCATTATGAACATTCTGTATTTACACAGTTTGCTAAAGAAGGTGAAAACCAAAACACACACAACTTTTAACACTTCTAAAGAGCGTCCATGTTTGTCATTTTAAACTACTTAGCCAATTTATTTAAGCAGGAAACACAAACTCACCCATATGCCTCCTCTCTTGCTAAGGCAGGGGTGTTTTCTGTGGATCATATTTGCGTTGTGAAGTCCTGTCTCTCCTCTTAGAGCCTGGAGCGCGTCCGCTGTAGTGTCCGGAGCTGCTGGTGTTTAGTTAAAGCAGGCATGTTGTTGAGAGCAGAGCTGCGCAGTCCTCTGTAGACTCCCGAGCCTTATTGCAGTCTGACTTGAACCAGTCATTCATCCCCAGTGCTGTCTCTGGACACTCCCCCCTTATGCAAATGAAGCTCTAATGTTGACCAATGGGAGGTGTGGACCGCTGGGAAATGCAGTTCAAGCCACACAATATTTTTTTTTTTTTTTTTTTTTTTGTGCACGCAGGAAATGCACCTTAACTTTGTAACACACCCTTGAAAGAGAAACAGCATACCTGAGGGAGAGTGGTGGAGGGAGAGTGAAGTTTGGAAAGAAGCATTATTGAGCAAATACATTCTTAAGATAACTTCTACTTATGATTATTAATGTTGCAGCTGTAAGGGGTGATAAATTCATGTTTGTCTTGCAACTGGTCTCTGGACAATAGTATAAACCAGACCTTTTGACACTTTACAGGAAGAATGTTGAGAGAAATGATGAAAAGTAACTGAATACATGTATCGAGAATACAAATTTTGAGTAACTATATTCAAGTATAGTTCTATAGTTTTGGAGGAATTTAGAGGATTGTACTGCAGTACTCACTCAGTTTAGACTGAGAAATCACATAACTGGATTTCATCAGAAGATATTTCCATAATCCTACTTTAAGTCCAACGGTCAGATAGACAGACATAAATTATGAAATGAATAAAAAATGCTTAAAATGCAGTGGAGTAAGAGAAAAAAAAGTTTATCAAGATATATTGAGCAACAACAGCCCACAGATACAGTTAATACAGCAACAGTATGTACTTTTGCACTCATAATACATTCTTGTTTTGATTCCAACTAAAAAAAAAAAACATACACAAATTTCATCAGATTTTGTAATCATTTTTATACTGCATACTGTTTGTTTTCAATTAAAAACTGTAAAACACAGCTAGTTAATTTTAGAGGTCCAAAGGTATTGCTCAAGTACCTAATGTATTCCAATTATTCACCAACTAGCATGCTACTCGCATACTACCTGTTCTGCGAGGGAATGAAACAGCAGACATCAGTTTCAATTCACCCTTAAGAGCTGATTTTATGAAATATACTAGTATGTATTCTGACAAAACATATTTACCTTAATTACATGAAAACAAAATTGTATACAGTTTATTATTAGTTAAGAGTTTATTTATGTTAACTTAAGGGGTACAAAATGTAAAATCTAACAGTACTGATAATTTGCAATGACAATTTATCATGCTGGGGGTGGTTACCATGGTGACACAATGCACACAAAATTTACTATTAATGGAACGCTATGTAGGATTTTGGAGCTTCATCTGAAAAAGTACAAAATTATTTAAAGCCTGTGATAAAGACAAGTTTTCATGGCCCAGTTTAGGTATCTTGTATAATTTTATGTACGAGAGAATTATTTATGAACATGAATCAGCTCCTCTGTTGTAGTTCCAACTAAACCAGCTTTTTCTGGTCAGATTTTGTTAAAATAAAGTTCAGTCTAACTTGAATAACAGAGCTTGCTTCATATCGATAAAACCTATTGATAAACAGTGTGCTGGAGAGGTGCTGGTGTCATAATAAGTGTAGCAGTGGCAGTGGTCTGGGTTGAGCCCTTAACTAAACCAGCGCCTCTAATCCTCATGTGTGCTAAATGCCAGGCCAGCTGTTGACTGGGATTGGAAGCATACTGCACAGAAAATGACTGATTGAGTGTCTCTGGCAAAGAGAGGGAGGGACACACACTCACACAAACAGCCTTATTCTGTCGTGTGCACACATCATGCATGGTTACAAGGGTTATGGAGCTAAGGGGGACTTACAAGAGGCAAAAATAGACCCCAATTTAAACTGAAGATCCTATATTACATAAAATAGATTCTTATGTTGTAATGCTGTTACTTCAATCAAAACAGACCTGGTGTACTGTTTTGCTTCATTCACAAATGTTTTAGTAATCTTTTATTATTAATCTGTGATGTCATGAAGCTGTAGTTTTCATGTTAACAGTTGCCTTTTACTCTTTTCTTTAGTACAGGTGGTCAATTCCAGGGCTGAAATCATCCAAATGATGTTAGTGAATGTGTATAGAGTTTAAAAACACAGTGGAGCATTTCGTGTATTACCACATGACATCACAAGGTGGAACAGAGTGTTTTCTGTTTGAGAAAATACCACAGCCTAAATATGCAGGGTTTTGGTGTTAAACATGTATGAATTAAACAAAACACAACTCTAGGTATGTTTTTGATGAGAAAACAACATTATAACAGAGTTCAGAAAGTGTAATTTGAGCCCTTTAAATAAATAAGTCTCAAAATGAATAGAGAAAACACTAAAGCAAATGTTTAATCATTACAAATATATATATTCTTGCACAAATCACTTAAGCCCTTTTAGAATTCATATTTTAACCCAAGTTTGAATAGATTCTAAGCATGCATTTACACCATTTGGTACTCAGAAATGTGAAGTAATAGGGCCTCAGCAACTTCAAAATATTTCTGAAAATGTTATTTAGGCCGTAATTTGATGATATTATGAGCTTTAGTTTCTTTTAGACTTGACTTAAACTGTGACCTGTATCTAAAGTCACGTTCTTTGACTAATTGTTTTTGTACTTGTGTAACTTTAAGCTGTACTGGCTTTGCAACACTAGAAGAGAAACATTCCTAGAGACATGGTGCACTATTCTTACAGTATAGGTGTGACTAGAGGTTAACTAACAAGATTGTTATAGTATTTTTTTAGGCTTGGCATGGATTAAAAAGAATACGGTGGCATTAAGGGTGCAGTATTTGTTTAAGCAGTAATTAAAACAATCATTAATCATAAAAGAAGATGTTCAAACACGTAATGAAACAAAGGTAAAGTTTAGTGCAATGTCCAATCTAAGTTACAGCAACATTACTAACTGAAATATTTTTGATGGTACAAACTTAGCTCCAGATTTGTACAACACTCTTGTCTTGTTTCATTTTCATTTTACACTCTGAGCAAAATTCTGTACAGTGTTGAACTCTCTCTAACAACCTCCCCAGGTATCCAGAAATACTGTATTTTTAGTGGGTATCTTCAAGCTTGCCATCCACCATTCGGGTTGGCATTACATCGTCCACGAAGTTTCTTCTTCACTGTGTTTTTTCTCTTTTTTCCACTGGATTAACGAGGGTCTAAGGACAAGGGGTGCTGTGGGACAGTTTTCATTTGCTTGTTTTTGTGAATTGGCTCTGCTTGTCTTTTTTTTTGAAAGACTTTGGGCAATACAGAAATAAAATTAATTACATTTTAACATTTTAGACATTTTCTATGTTATATTTTTTATATATTTAAGTATTTAAGGTGCAATATCTTTTCTGATGGAGGATCTATCAAATGCTTTTCTTTGTGGAGATGCTATTGCTTGAAGTTCACAGATCTGAACTTCAAAATATCAAGTTCAGATCTGTGGAGAAGCAACCACGCTCAAAATATCAAAAATATCAAAGTTTGAAAGTTGTAATCAAAAAGATACCAATTCAATACAAAGTCTAGATGACAAATACTGGATGACAAAACTTCAACATAATGAAAGTGCTTTAAATATATATTTGATGTGACAATTTACTAATTCACAAAATTATATTAAACCTTTCTATCTTCTTGAGACCAAACCAGACCAAGTTACAGTTCAGGTCTGTGGAAAGTCAACCACGCTCACAGTCACAATGTCTTTTTTTTGTAGGTGTTTTGTAAGGTAGAGCTGTTTAATGTCATACTGTGTTCCAGACAGAGCAGTGACATATTTAGAAACAAGAAGGTGACGTACCATCCACCAAAAAAGTTACACAATGCACCTTTATTTAGTTTCAGTGATCAGACACTGACATGGTCCACTGGGGTGTAACTCACAGTGGATGTTGTGAGGACCACCTTTGCAAAAACACTGTCAAACATGCCGCAAAGAGACAATGGAGTCATCTCATGGAGCGGAGAGCGTGGGAAAACAGCAGCAGAGACCGTAAATTATATTTGGAGTCACCCTGAGGTGCTCTCTGACAGTTATGTCATAACACTGAACCCCTGAACCTGACGCAACACAAGCAGAGGTAAAGAATGTTTAAGCTAATGTGGAATGCATGGATTTGTCTTCAACACTTAAACTATCTGTGCCATAGTGAGGGGCTACTTATTATTTTCTTATGTTTTATTTTTACTTATACATTGATATAATTATGTCTTATTTGACACTAGCCTGTTATTATTTTTGCTACTTACTTTTAATGTATTATTACCATGTTATTTTTTTCTGTTTGTTTACATATTTATTGTGATGTGTGAGCTACTGTGTCCAAATAATGTCCCTTTTACATCAATAAAAATGCATCTGTTTACTGGAATAAGTTAGGGTCGGTGTATATTTTTAACTCAACTTACCCTGATCTGCTATTGCAATACATTTTATACCACTGAACTGATTGCAATTGTGTCACAAATGTCCATCCATGTTGACCAGTTTGTAAGATGTAAAAAAAAATGTCCGATATAATTTACAAATGCAACCAACAACACTCCAATGAATAAATGACCAGCTTTGTCTAAACTATAGATACAAGTCACAGTTTTTGCGGACATTCTGTGATCTAAATAATTGTGTCTTAATTTCAGTTGTCCTGGATCAGATCATGCCAGATGAACCCAAAAATAAATTGATAAATTCATTTAAAAGTGCACTGTGAAACATTTTGGTTGGGGGTCCATCACCTGCTTGTTTCTTTTTTTCATTTTTTTTTTTTTTTCTCTCCTTCTTAAGCCCTGTTGTGGAAAAAAAAAAAAATAAAAAAATAAATAGAGGATCTCTTTTTGTTCCCTTCCATGGAAATCTTTAGTTAAAGGCTAAAGATTTGTATGATCTGAAGAGAAACAAGAGTCACTTGCTTGTTTCTGTGGATACATGCTGTTGCTCTGCCTATGTAGTTTACCTTTATTAAATTACAGGTTGTTTTATAGCTTAAAAATACCTACAAAAAGCAGACATTATGACTGTGAGGGGATCTGACCTGTAACCTGTAAGGTTTAATATCTTACTGTGAAACATTCCAGACAAAGCAATAACATCTCTTTGGAGAAAAAGCATTTGACAGCTCCTCCACCAAAAAAGTTACGCAATGCGCAATGCAACTTAACATTTCTCACCTCAGTGCAGTGATTTGCACAGGTCTAACTCGCTGAATTCACTTCCTGATGCATCGGTTTGTTCTATAAAAAGCAACAGTCACACTAAAACCCTAAAGGTCTTGCTGGGCCAGGCCTGTGTATTACTTTGGTCTCTTTAATTACATCGTTTACTGTGGAGAGAGGGAGAGATGAGGCTGTGTAATCTGGGGCCAGATTTGATAACAGATGTCCTGTTAACCTTGGGCCTTTCTTTTAATCAAAGTCCACTAAGCTCCAATGATAGCCGTGAGACAGCTCTGCTCCTGTTAAGTCAAATGGATATGACCACGCAGATTAGCAGCTGTACTGAAGAGAGCTCGCCCGCTGAGTTCTCGTGAGTCATCATGCATTAAAGACAGCTAATGCATCGCAACTACTGCATGAGTCAAGGCCACGGCGTGACGTTGATTTCATTTAAAAAGTGGACAATTTAGTGAAGATGACTAGGTTCACTTTACATTGAAAAATCGGTTTAGTCATTGTAACAAAAATCAAATATACTCCTCTTATTTTACAGTATCACTTCAGGCACAGAGCAGTGTATAGATTCTGAACTGAACACAATTACTATGGCTAATTTCATACTCCAAATGTAATGTGAAAAAGGAATATGGTCATGGCTAAAACTGAAAACAAGCTTTAAGGCAAACTGAAGCTGCTGTAATATGTGATATACAGTACAGTGTTTCAAAATCAAATAAATATATTGTTCTGTAAAATACTGTATAGTGAGGATTTAGTAAAAACCAATGAATGGCATTAATGAGTATTTTATTTTTATGTTTAAACACTAGTCAACCCTTTTAGTATTAGTTAGCCTAAAGCCATTCAAATGTGTTACCAAACTATTAAAGGTCCTATATTAAGCAAAACATAACTCCTGTGAGCTTTAAGTCAGATTATAATGCTGTTACCTCATCAAAAACATACCTGGAGTTTTGTTTTTATTTGCATATGTTTGAATAGCCATTTATTACTAACTTTTGTCTACATCTCTACAGCTCAAAATGCTCTGTTCCACCTTGTGATGTCATGAAGTGGTAGTTTTCACGTTAAAGGCTACCGCTTAACTTTAGTTTAGTAGAGATTGGCAATTCCAGGTCTGAAATCATCCAAATAATTCTAGTGAAGGTGTATGTGTCTTAAAAATGTGTGAATGAAACAAAACACGATTCCAGATACAGTATGTTTGTGATGAGGAAACAACATTATAACATAGATCAGAAAACAGAGTAAAATATTCCCTTTAATGCACTGCCACTAAAGTGAACGTAATAGTTATATTCTTCTACAGCTTTATCAGATTGTCTCATATGCCAGCAATTTCATGTTTGCTTATTATCAACACATTTTCAGTGACACTTACAAAGTCCATTCATTGGTCAGAAATGAGATTCTCATTTGAGTTAATCCGAGCTGTTTGACAAAAGCCAGAACTCAGAGGCCAGTACATTAGAGCAATCTGGATGTAAACCCTCATATACTCACACTGCAGCTGTGTTATTGGGGCTAATGCAATGTGTAGAGTTGAGCTGCCTGCCAAATCACCGCTGTTACACTGATTTATTCCACTACATCAGTTCAATCAATCACACAGTCCCTGCATATGTCATCAAACTGTAATGGAAACTACTGAATACGCTTTCATTAACAGTACACTGCTAAATTGGGAAGTTCATTTGTTTTCCTATAAAGACATCTCACCAATACATTCTTGATAAACAAAAACTGAAGTGTATAGGTCTGACTTACTGGTGGCAACATGCACTGGAGAGGTTTGCAGCCTAGTGTGAAGTGAGAAGAAGATCAGCTCCTCCAAATCTGAGGCCATGGTTCTTGACCGGGAAAAGGTGGTTTGCCCTCTTCCGGGTGGGTGGAGAGTCTCTGCCTCAAGTGGAGGAGTTCAAGTATCTCGAGGTCTTGTCCATGAGTGAGGGGCGGATGGAGCCTGAGATTGACAGGAGGATCGGTGCAGGGTCTGCAGTGATGCGGTCGCTGTATCGGACCGTTGTGGTGAAGAGGGAGCTGAGCTGAAAGGCAAAGCTCTCAATTAACCACTCAGTGTACATTCCTAACCTCACCTATGGTCATGATCTTTGGGTAATGACGGAAAGGACAAGATCATGAATAGAAGCGGTCAAAATGAGTTTCCGTCACAGGGTGGCTGGGTGCTCCCTTAGAGATAGGGTGAGGAGCTCAGTCACACAGGAGAAGCTCGGAGTAGAGTTGCTGCTTCTTCACGTCGAGAGGAGTCAGCTGAGGTGGCTCATGCATCTGTTCCAGATGCCTCCTGGGTGCCTCCCTCAGAAGTGTTACGGTTATGTCCCACCAGGAGGAGGCTCTGGGGAAGACCCAAGACACACGGGAGGAAATATGGCTGTCGGTTGGCCTGAGAACACCTTGGAGTCCCCCTGGAGAAGCTAAAGGAAGTCTGGGAGTCCCTGCTTAGACTGCTGCCCCTGCGACTCAGACCAGGAAAAGCAGAAGAAAATGGATGGATGAATGGATTAAGTGTATAGACTTTAGAAACACGGAGGAGCTATTTCTGGGTAAATATCTGATGATATCACTAGAGCAACTAAAGAAATTCCTGGTCAACATGTCTGACTAAATAGGGGGCATGGCAGAAGTTCTCAAAATTATTATTTTATTTATTTATCTTATTTATTTATGTATCTTACCCAAACTGCACAGGAGTTCATGCAAAAACAACTATTTATACAGAAAGAAGAAGTACTAGGAAACAATGTATTTTACAGAAAGGCAGATTAAATTTTTGTATTATGAGTCTAATCTGCTTTTTTACATAAACATTCCTAAAAATACCAAATTTTTATCTAACTCACTTACTAACTTCTCCTTTTTGCTGTTGTCCCATATAAATCCTTATAATCTAAATGAAATGATTAGCTGAGCAACATAAAGTCAGACATTATTTATGTTTGAACCCTGAATCATAACTCACTTTGCTTTGCGTTTATTATCATCACACTTGTCAATCACATAAAATAAACATAAAATATCTTACAAGCTCAGACATTATTACATCCTATATAAACACTGTCTTGTGAGAATCAAAATTGTTCCATGGCAGTGAACTAGACTTGATGCATACATTTTAATCTTTTGTTTAGTCCCTTTGTTCCCACATTTATACAAGCTCAAAAGCAGCTTCCTCAATCTCTGTACCAAAGAGTGTTTTGCAGAATCTTATATGATTTTTAACCAAGCAGAATAACAAGTTCAAACACCCTGTTGACGTTTGTAGCCATGTGAGAAAAATGTATGAAAAACAAGGCAGAGGTAATTGCACTGTCACTGCCATCTACTGGTGGGAAGTAGAATAAAAAATATTTTTTTCTCAGGTTTCTTTTTTTTTTTTTTTTTTTTTTTCATTTGGAGTGTGTTAGTCAGCATAGCATACAAGTCTTTGATGTATTTTCTAGTTTTTCACATACATTTCAATAAACACTTTGCAAAGATATATATGAAATATTTCTTGTAAATATATCTCGTAATATGCTTATTGCTTAATATTTCCTGTCCTGAGGTTCTGTTTTGGAGTCACATTTAGGGATGATATTTAAAAGTAGTAGTATAGTACAAGAAGGATTATATTTTATTGTGATGGTCTTGTGAAATTATTATAATGTAATCGCAGAAGTTTAATTTCCTGTGACAGTTTTCTAGATAACTTTTTCTCCTTTTTCTATTTTTGTGAAGTGTCCAGGTTTTTATTTGAACATGGCTTTTAGTACTCCTTCCACCTTTGTGTGTAATATACTGCACTGAATGACTAAAAGCAACTAGTTTATGAAATAAAAGTGCAAACCTGAAATGTGGAGAAAGCTCTTTTCAGGTGACACATAATTTGTCATTTTAGTGAGGACCACATTTTCCATCAAAAAATATCACAAAGGAGAGAGATGTTTAAATTGTTGCCAGCTTGCAGTTGCATGAAACCAATTTTGGTAGAAAATGGAGCTGTCCTGGCTTAATATTACCACTGCCTCTGCCAAAAGTCTATCCCAAATAACCAGAAAAGCGCTCTCCTCGCTCCTTTCTCTCCCTCCTATCACCTCCCCTGCTGATTCCCACTTCCTCTCTCTCTCCACTTGTCAGTTACTGAAGAAGCATCTTGGCACAAACATAAGACTCATCTGGAACGGAACAAAGACAGGAGGAAATAATGCATTAGAAAAATTGCATTTATATTTATTTTTTTAGTACTTTCTTATACTTATTTTGATGACTTAAAAATGCACTGTGTAAGCTTTGTGGTCGATGTTTGTCACTTGCTTGTCTCTGTGAATTATTATTATTATTATTATTATTATTATTATTATTATCTATTGAATGTTGAATGTTCCATAGTGTGACATTAAATTTAAATCTACAATTACAGGTATTTTTATTGCTCATAAGTTTAACAAAAACACCGTAAGCAGGTTAACATCTCCACAGGTCTGACTTGTAACTTGACCTGGTGGTGTTACTTGTCTGTTACCATGGAAATATATATGCTTAAAGTCAAACTGTGGGACATACCAAGCAAAGCAATTACATCTCTATGGAGCCAAGTTGGTGGCAGACCCTCCATCGCAAAAGTTACGCAGTGCACCTTTAATATAAACTTTCACTGTCAATTCACAATTCAATACGAAATATTTTTTCTCTTGAATGGTCAACCATCCTCAAAATGACACCAACCTAA